GGAGTCTGCTAAAAAAGGTCATGTACACAACGTCATCTAGGAATTGGTCAACACATTCCATGGTCTTTTGGTTTGGTCGTCCACGAGTTTGCTACTATAAATAATTGGAATATGGGATTTTGAAGGGCTTGTACGTAGTAGTTTCTTGTTTATTTTGTAGAACTCTAATGTTGTTTATTTATTTGATAAGTTTTGTAAATGAATTTATGTGATATATATGAACTTCAACTGGGCAATTCGATGTATGTAAAAGAGTTACATAATTATTTGACCCGCGATCTTTCTCGGTGGCGGATCAATGTTATTAAAGTAATTTAAATCGGAGTCTGCTAAAAAAGGTCATGTACACAACGTCANTTTGTAAATGAATTTATGTGATATATATGAACTTCAACTGGACAATTCGACGTATGTAAAAGAGTTACATAATTTTTTGACCCGCAATCTTTCTCATGTGTTTTTTTTTTTTTACTAAGTTTCATGATTTTGGAAATGTATAGTGCTAGTATAGTATCTTCCACGACTTCTTATCGCTAATTTTCATGGTAGAATTAAGAGTTTTAGGCATCCATATTAATTGCTGGCTTTTATGTAGTATAATTTTTTAGAGCCCTCGTGTATATGGTGTCTGTTCATGCAGCCTATTTTGCCCAATAAGGGAATCATTATGCATTATAAAAGTGACTTTGGGGTGAGATAAATGCTTTTTTTATGTTGATATTAATTTGAACGTTGTAAGCATCTGTCATAAACTTTATGTGAATTGTAGATGGCTAAGTAAAGAACGGGAATATGGGTTTTTCTAATTTACTTGATAAGTATTATATTGTTTTGAGAAAATACAAAATTACTATATTTATTTTGTAGCGAGTCTGTCGTATTATGATCTATTATCTAATTCTATACAACAATTGCCACTTTTTTGAATTTATGTTAATTTCAACTTATAGATTGCTATGTTCCTAAAATGAAGTTATGTTATATGTTTAGTTAATACGCGTGAAGAATAATTACAGAGACGGCATATAGAAAAATAACCATCACTTGGATCTATTTTGAAGTTTTGATTTGTGTTTCACTTTTTAAACTTTGTGTCATTTCCCAACTTATAGGGTTTATATCTCGTTTTTAATTAATAGAAATGAAATATAATCACGAAGAGACAATATATAGAAGAAAATCAACCATCACTGAATCTATTTTTAGATTTTGGTTGGTATTTCTTACTCTTTTGAGTGTTTGTTATTATTATTTTTTTTTTTGAATTTTTGTCACCTTTTTTTTAGTGTTGTCATTTTTTTTTTTTTTTGAATTTCTATCACTTCCAACTTTTAAGTTGTTGT